TATGTTGGGTTCTTGTTGGGTATGTGGCCATGTGTCCGGTTTCGAACTGATTGGAGGTGGATGTTTGTCCCACTTATTGTTTTTTTCTTATCTGTGTCTGTTTGTCTGTGTGTGCGTGTCATCTCCCATTTCCTCTTTCAGATTAAGTCGTATTCCATGCTCCTTCGTAAAGGCGAGATGAAAAGGTAATAGCTGGAAGACTGAGGATAACGCTGCAGTTACGAATGATAACAATAATAGTAATTTTTGTAATAAAAAGAGTACACTGTAAAATAGTTATAATGATAATTATTGGTAACGATGTATACATGTGTATGTGCGTGTACCTGTACACACACATACACATATATACATATATAGTATATATATATATATATATATATATACATATATATAATACTTATATATACATACATATGTATATACATATACACATATATATGTACATATGTATATAACATATATAACATACATACATACATATATATATATATATATATATATATGAGTATATCCCATGTGTGTTGTGTGTGTGTGTGTGTGTGTGTGTGTGTGTGTGTGTGTGGTGTGTGTGTGTGTGTAATATATATAAGTATACATGCATGTATGCATGCATCTGTATACACATACATACATACATGTGTGTATTTTATATATGTATATATATATAATATATATATATATATATATATATAATAATATATATATACTATATATATATATATATATATACCATGACATGCACACACACACACACACACATAAGAATTAACATATGTGAGTGTGTGTGGGAGAGAATGCATTTGAGCGTGTTTGTAAACTTCATATATACAGAGTATGTATAAACCAAAGCTAAGTCCTCAAGTGGCCAACTATTCCATCCTCAAACGAGGGCTGGCTGCGTCCGACGGCGAGCAGGCCGTCCAAAGGCTATATAAGAAGTCGGAGAAGCGGTAACTTGCCAGTTTGCGCGCGGGAGCTCGACTGTGCACACCGTTCTGTCGACGGTCCGTCCGCCGTGTTCGTGACCCGTGATCTCCATTCGTTGACCTTTTTTAAGTGTTGATAGTCATGACATAAACTCGAACACAATTAAAGACTATTCTTAAAGGAAAGTTCTCTTTTATTTATCATTTCTTTAATTCTTTCTGATTGAAACGAGTGCAGTTGCAAATTTGGAAAAGACGAAGATTGCCTTACAAGGAGCCGAGGGAGTAACAAGTGTCAGTCGGCCGATGGCTGACTGAGGAAGCATGTTGAGGAGTTAGCAAGACGCCATCTTCTTCTTTGAGAATATTGGAGCTTCTCGTCGCAATCAGGTATTTTGTTCTTTGGAGTTGTAACTTTGGTAATGTTCACCGGGAGTGGCAGTGGAGTTAACGGACCGCCAGAGCTTATTAAGTGTTTCTCAATGTTTTCGTGTCGTCTTTTCTTCTTTATTATTATTTTCATTTATTTTTTCATCGTTTATGACTATTTTCGTGTCGTTTTGCGGGAACATAGTGTACTGCCCCCCAAACAAAACAACACTAAAAAACGTAGATTTCTAATAAAACTTTTTCGACCTTTCTACTGGCCAATATATCTTAACATTCTTCTATTAAAAGATTTAATCCTTGTGTACTTCACTGATAATGATACCTATCCAAACGTTATTAGTGCCAACTATCTCTAATAGTTTCTAAATCAGCCTTAAGCACCTTTCCCCACTTGTGCCAATAATAAAGGTATCAACAAATTCCCCATTTAATTACGGGCGTGAAATGGTAAAAATTCCAAAAACCCTTATTTTAAACTCAAATACGGGCAGCTAGGCGTAAATAGCGCTTTTTTAGCTTAAAAACTGAAACAAAGGTTTTAGGGNACAATAAGAGTAAGGTGATGAAGAAGAAAAAAGGAAGAGGAAAAGAAATAGAAGAAATCAGTGAGGAAAGAAAAAGAAGGAGGAGGAGGAGGAACATAGCAGAAGTGATTGAAGAAAGAGAGAAAAGGAAAAAAAAAGAACGAGCAAAGGGAAATGGGGAACGAAGCGTGATGAAAAGAAGAAAAAGAAAAGGATGGGGAGGAGGACATCGAGCAAGAAGGTGTATGAAGAAGAAGAGAAAAGAGGAGGAGGAAAATTAGATCTGGGATGATGAAGAAGGAGGAGGAGGGGGGACAAATAGAGGGAGGTGATGAAGACGAAGGAAAAAGAAAAAGTGGCAAGAAGGAGAAGAAAAGGAGAAAAGAGAGAAAATAGAGGAAGGTCGATTGATGATGAAGAAGAAGAAAAAGAAGAAGGAAAATTAAGAAGAAAGAAAGAAGGAAAAAGGAGAAAATGAAACTGCTTGTAAATGGTTTTATCCAGCGCTGTCTGTTAACTTCTCTGGCGAATTCCAATGATGTGTTGTCTCTGTCTGATTGCCTATTTCGTCCTCAGCTTTCGAGATAAAAAGGCATGAACTGCACTCGATTAGCCGTGTGCTATATTAGGTCAGCTAAATTGTCATATTCTCTCTTC